CACGAATCCTAACCAACTGGGCTTACATCGGAGATGTGAGACTGAGCCTGGTTTCCCGCTGATCACAGACTCGTGTATCCTTGACACAGACTTCACCGGCAAGGCAGCTTCGCGTTCCAACATCACAGACGTTCACATGCGCAAGTGCGTGACACTCGCACAGCCACACGGTTTCACACGACCGCAGCCGCACGGGTGTCTCCCGCGCCGGTGTCACCCTGCTACACTGGAAGCCAACCTGCACATACATTTCGTCTTCATTGCGACACAAAAGTCCGGACGCAGAGCCCAACGGAGATGAAGTTATCTGCGCCTCATGTTCGTGTTTATCACTCACAGCCTTTCACACAGTGCGACCCTCTTTCGCGTTCATGTTCATTGTCCCCACATAAATCCGGCTTCAGCAGAGCTCAGGCACATTCCTGCCAGTCAACAGAGGGGGCATTTCTCAGACCCGAGGCTCGGAAGAAGTGGTGCGAATAAAATCTATGCCTGTACCACTCCTTCCGCCCGGATTACTGAGCACCTTCAAAGCCTTGTGGTGATTGGTGACACGAAATGCTACAAAAGATAGATATCATATATCTCCTTTATTTAAATTCCTGTGTCACCCAGTCACCATAGTTCGAGGGCTGTGGATCAAGAATTCCTTAGCGTGATAGTGGATGATGACTGTCATCCAGATGGGTGGATTTATTGGTGACAGGGGCGCTGTTACATCATCGATACCCAACCATTACAAAGTACGTACCAATCGTTTTGCAAAATATACGGCTAGATTGAACGATATGGCACCCGCGGCAGAAGTACTCCCAGGCTGAGGTAATCGTAGTTATCTGAGAAAGGTGAAAGCTGGAAATGTATTGCACCAAACCAAATGTTAGCAGAGAGGCTGCCGAGAGCATAAGAGCTGAGGGAGTTCAAGAAGAAGAGTGAATCGCATAGTGCGCAATTCAAAGTGAAGGAGTCGCGAGGAAATGGTCTGCTTAATGTTGGACGTCGGAGAATGCGGTCGGTGGGGACTGAACCTGCGTGAGCGCCACGCGGACAGAAGCTTTGAGAGTTGTGGCGCGCGGGAATTTTAACTACCGGCGACCACAACCTGGATCTATAGGTTACCGTAGCCATGTAACCGAAGGTAAATATCAGGTCCGCTCAGCTAGGCTGCAGCCGAAGGTGAACGCCAGTGACGACCCTTTGCTGTCACACCTGCTTTGAATATTGTGGCCCAGAGGAATTTTATGCTACCGACACAACTGGTCCCTATAGGTTACCGTAGCATCGCCTTGGCTCCAAGGTAAAATATCAAGGTCCGCTCGCTGGAAGGCTGCAGCCGAAAGGTGAATGCAGTGACGACCCTTGCTGTAATCTGCCTTCTTTCCTATAACCTTCGCTGTAGACAAGTTGGGGCCCGAAGGACCTCGACACCGCTCGACAAACTATTAACATAAGGGCCCTGGCTGTGAGGGTGCAGGAGAGTGAATGCGCGATCAAATACTGCATCATCCGAGAATCGAACTCGGAGTCACAGCGATGGCAACGATTGTATTCTACCCGCCGAGCCAATGATGCCGCCTAATAGATGATCTCTTCGCTTCCTACACTATTACGTTGATCATCTTCAAACTTACCTCCATAGCCTTGTACTATTCGAAGTGAGTCTACATTGAAGGCGTGCGCATCCCTCATACGCATCTACATATCGATTCCGTGCGGGGACTCGAACCCCCGGTCGCGTGGGTGAGAGCCACGAATCCTAACCAGCTAAGACTACATCGGAGATGTGAGACTGACCTGGTTTCCCCGCTGATCACAGACTCGTGTATCAGCGGCCTGCAAGACTTCACCGGCAAAGGCAACTTCGCATTCAACATCACAGACGTTCCGCATGCACAAAATTATTCGACCTCCGCAATACACGGTTTCGCGACCCGCAGCCGCGTTCCTCCCGCGCCGGTGTCGCCTGCTACACTGGAAATAACCTGCACATACATTTCGTCTTCATTTGCGACACAAAGATTCGGACCTTGAAACCCAACGAAGATGAAGTTATAAAACCTCATGTTCGGTGTTTATCATACAGCCTTTCACGCAGTGCGACCCTCTTTCGGCATTCATCATTCATTTGTCCCCGCACCGATCCGTAGCTGGCGGAGCTCCGGGCACATTCACCGTCAACAGAGGGCCGTTTCTCAGACGAGGCTCGGAAGAAGTGGTACGAATAAAATCTATGCCTGTACCCTCCAGCTTCGCGGGTTACACACGAAACCTTCAAACCTTGTGGTGATTGGTGACACGAAATGCCTAAAAGATGGAAATATCTATATATCTCCCGCTTTAATTTAAATTCCTGTGTCACCAGGTCACCATAGTTCGAGGGCTGTGGATCAAAATTCCTTAGCGTGATAGTGGATGATGAAGAGCTGTCATCGAATGAATTGGATTTATTGGTGACACGGGGCGCTTCTGTTCATCATCGATTGCAACCATTACAAAGTACGTACCAATCGTTTCAAATATACGGCTGAATTGAACGATATGGCACCCGCGGCTGGAGAAGTACTCAAGGCTAGCAGGAATTAATCGTAGTTATCTGAGAAAGGTGGCTGGAAATGTGCATTGCGCAAACCAAATGTTGGCAGAGGGCTGCCGAACGCATAAGAGCTGAGGGTTCAAGAAGAGTAAGATCGCAGGTACGCAATTCAAAGTGGAAAGGAGTCGCGAAATGGTCATGTAATGTTGGACGTCGAATGCAGTCGGTGGGGACTGAACCTGCGTGAGCGCCACGCGGACCGAAACTTTGAGGATTGTGGCGCGCGGGAATTTTATGCTACCGGCGATACAACTGGATCCCTATAGGTTACCGTAGCCATCTTGGCTCAAAGGTAGAATATCAAGGATCGCTCGCTGACTTGCAGCCGAAGGTGAACGCCAGTGACGACCCTTTTAACATCCACACCTGCTTTTGGAATATTGTGGCGCCGCGAGAATTTTATGTTACCGACACGACGGCAACCTGGACCATCATAGGTCACCGTAGCCATCTTGGCTCAAGGTAAATATCAGGTCCGCTCCCTGAGCTGCAGCCGGAAGGTGAATGCCAGTGACGACCCTTTTATCCATGCTCACTCACCCGTCCCACTATACCCCGTTCCCCCTGAACAAAGTTGAAGCTGGTGGAGGCATTAACCGACAGAAGTGGAGCACCCAACATTGTCCTTGGGGAAGTGGGGACGGTCTGCAGAAGCAGCAGTATGGCAGACGTACGCGAGAAAACTGCATCATCCGAGAATCGAACTCGGGTCACAACGATGGCAACGTTGTATTCTACCACTAGACCAATGATGCCGCCGATAGATGAAAGTCTCACTAACTTCCCACCTGTTAAGATGATCATCTTTCAAACTTACCTCCATAGCCTTGTACTATTCGAAGTGAGTCTACATTGAAGGCGTGCGCATCCCTCTACGCATCTACATATCGATTCCGATGCGGGGACTCGAGCCAGTCGCGTGGGTGAAAGCCACGAATCCTAACCAGCTAGACTACATCGGGTGTGGGACTGAAGCCTGGTTTCCCGCTGATCACAGACTCATTAGTATCGCCGAGCTGAACTTCACCGGCAAGGCAACTTCGCATTCCAGCATCTGCAGACGTTCACATGCGCAGAGTGCGTGACACTCACCAGCCACACGGTTCCGCGACCGCAGCCGCACGGTTGTCTCGCGCCGGTGTCACCCCTACTACACTGGAATAATGCATACGTGTTTCGTCTTCATTTGCGACACAAAATTCGGACATAGAGCCAACGGATGAAGTTATCTGCGCCTCATGTTCGTGTTATCACTCTATTGCTTTCACACAGTGCGACCACTCTTTCGCGTTCATCATTCGTTGTCCCCATAAATCCATGCTTCAGCAGAGCTCGGGCACATTCACCCAGTCAACAGGGCATTTCTCAGACTCAGGAAGAAGTGGGTACGAATAAAATCTATGCCTGTACCCTCCTTCCGCGGATTACACAGAGCACCTTCAAACCTTGTGGTGATTGAGTGACACGAAATGCTAAAAGATAGATATCTATATATCTCCCTTTATTTAAATTCTGTGTCACCCAGTCCTGCCATAGTTCCGAGGGCTGGATCAGAATTCCTTAGCGTGATAGTGGATGATGACTGTCATCGAATGGTGTTAGTTGTGGTGACACGGGGCGCTGTTCATCATCGTGCAACCACCAAAGTACGTTACCAATCGTTTTCAGAATACGGCTGAATTAGACGATATGGCGCAACGGCTGGAGAAGTACTCCAGAGCTGAGGAAGTAATCATAGTTATCTGAGAAGGTGGCTGGAAATGTGTGCGCAAACCAAATCGAGCAGAGGGGCTGCCAGGCATAAGAGCTGAGGGTTCAAGAAAGAAGAATTGAATCGCATAGTGCGCAATTCAAAGTGAAGGAGTCGCGAGGAAATGTGGTCTGCGCTTGATGTTGGACGTCGGAATGCAGTCGGTGGGGACTGAACCTGCGTAGGCGCCACGCGGACGAAGCTTTGAAGGTTGTGGCGCGCGGAATTTTATGCTACCGGCACGACCACAACCTGGATCCCTATAGGTTTACCGTATGCATCTTTGGCTCAAAGGTGCGATATCAAGGTCAACTCGCTAGGCTGCAGCCCGAAGGTGAACGCCGAGTGACGACCTTTGCTGTCACACCTGCTTTGAATATTGTGGCGCAGAATTTTATGCTACCAGCACGACCACAACCTGGATCCCTATAGGTTGCCGTAGCCATCTTGGCTCCAGGTAAATAATAAGGTCCGCTCGCTAGGCTGCAGCCGAAGGTGAATGCCAGTGACGTGCTTGCTGTAATCTGCCTTCTTTCCTGCGTAACCCCTTCGCCCTGAACAAAGTTGGGCCGAGGACCTCGACACCGCTCGACAAACTAGTAACATGGGGCCCTACCAGGCCAGAGGGGTGCGGGGAAGTGAATACGCGTCAAATGCTGCATCATCCGAGAATCGAAGACTCAGGTGCAACGATGGCAACGTTGTATTCTACCCACCCTAGACCAATGATGCCGCCTAATAGATGATCTCACCTAGCTTCCCTGCCACCTATTAAGATGATCGTCTTCAAACTTGCTACCTCCATAGCCTTATGCCTATTCGAGTGAGTCTACATTGAAGGCGTGCGCATCCTCTACGCATCTACATATCGATTCCGTACGCGGGACTCGAACCCCGGTCGCGTGGGTAGAAAGCCACGAATCCTAACCAGCTAGATTCCATCGGAGATGTGAGACTGAAACCTGGTTTCCCGCTGATCACAGACTCGTGTATCCTTGACACAGACTTCACCGGCAAGGCAACTTCCGTTGTTCCAACTTTATCACCAGACGTTTCACGCACCAAGTGCGTGACCTCCGCAGCCGCACGGTTCCTGACCGCAGCCGCACGATTAATCTCCCGCGCCAGTGTCACTACCTGCTACACTGGAAATAACCTGCACATACATTTCGTCTTCATTGCGACACAAAATTCCGGACATGAGAGCCAACGAATGAAGTTATCTGCGCCTCATGTTCGTGTTTATCACTCACAGCCTTTCACACAGGTACGACCCTCTGCCGTTCATCATTCATTGTCCCCGCATAAATCATGCTTCGAAAGCGGGGAGCTCAGGCATTCACCCAGTCAACAGGGCATTTCTCAGACAGAGGAGCTCGGAAGAAGTGGTACGAATAAAATCTATGCTGTACCCTCCTTCCGCGGATTACTACGAAACCTTCAAACCTTGGTGATTGAGTGACACGAAATGTAGATAGATATCTATATATCTCCCTTTATTTAAATTCCTGTGTCACCAGTCACCATAGTTCCGAGGAAACGTGGATCAAGAATTCCTTAGCGTGATAGTGGATGATGACTGTCATCGAATGGTGGATTTATTGTGGTGACACGGGGCGCTGTTCATCATCGTGCAACCATTACAAAGTACGTACCAATCGTTTCAAATATACGGCTGGATTGAACGATATAGCTCCCGCAGTGCTCCAGGCTGAGGTAATCGTAGTTATCTGAGAAGGTGAAACAGAGCAAATAGAGTGTTGGCGGAGGGCTGCCGAGCATAAAGAGCTGAGGTTCAAGAAAGAAGAGTGAATCGCATAGTGCGCAATTCAAAGTGAAGGTCGCGAGTGGTCTGTAATGTTGGACGTCCGAATGCAGTCAGTTAGGGACTGAACCTGCGTGAGCGCCACGCGGACGAAGCTTTGAGGATTGGCGCGCGGGAATTATGCTACCGGCACGACCACAACCACCTGGATCCCTATAGGTTACCGTAGCCATCGCGGCTCAAGGTAAATATCAGGTCCGCTCGCTGAGGCTGCAGCCGAAAGGTGAACGCCAGTGACGACCCTTTTGCTGTCACCTGCTTTGAATATTGTGGCGCTTCGCGAGAGATTTTTATGCTACCGGCACGACCACAACCTGGATCCTATAGGTTACCGTAGCCATCTTGGCTCAAAGGTAAAAATATCAGGTCCGCTCGCTGAGCTGCAGCCGGAAAGGTGAATGCCGAGTGACACGACCCTTTGCACGTAATCTGCCTTCTTTCCTACGTAACCCCTTCGCCCCTGAAGACAGAGTTGCCCGAAGGGACCTCGACGCCGCTCGGCAAACTAGTAACGATGCCTACCAGCTTTGGCCAGAGGGGTGCGGGAAGTGAATGCGCGTCAAATGCTGCATCATCCGAGAGAGTCAGACTCGGGTCACAGCGATGGCAGCGTTGGCGATACCACTAGACCAGTAGTGCCGCCCACAATAGATGATCTCACTAACTTCCCTGCACCTATTAAGATGATCATCTTCAAACACCTCCCATAGCCTTGTACTATTCGAAGTGAAGGTCTACATTGAAGGCGTGCGCATCCCTCGCATCTACATATCGATTCCGATGCGGGGACTCAGGCCGGTCGCGTGGGTGAAAGCCACGAATCCTAATAGCTAGACTACATCGGAGATGTGAGACTGGAAACCTGGTTTCCGCTGGAAATCACGAACTCGTGTATCCTTGACACAGACTACCGGCAAACAACTTCGCATTCCAACATCACAGACGCGTTCACATGCGCAAGTGCGTGAGCACTCCGCAGCCACACGGTTTCACGACCGCAGCCGCACGGTGTCTCCGCGCCGATATACCCTGCTACACTGGAAATAACCTGCACATACATTTCGTCTTCATTTGCGACACAAGATTCCGGACATGAAGCCAGCGAATGGAAGTTATCACCTTTACTCATGTTCGTGTTTTATCACTCCACAGCCTTTCACACAGTGCGACCCTCTTTCACGTTCATCATTCATTGTCCCCATAAATCCATGCTTCAGCAGAGCTCAGGCATTCACCCAGTCAACAGGGGCATTTCTCGGGGCGAGGCTCCGGAAGAAGTGGTACGGAATAAAATCATGCCACCAATACCCACTTTCCTTCCGCGGATTACACAGAGCACCTTCAAAACCTTGTGGTGATTGAGTGACACGAAATCGCAAGATAGATATCTATATATCCTCCTTTATTTAAATTCCTGTGTCACCAGATGCCCTTAGTTCGGGCTGTGGATCAAAAGAATTCCTTAGCGTGATAGTGGATGATGACTGTCATCGAATGGTGGATTTGTGAGCACGGGGCGCTGTTCATCATCGTGCAACCATTACAAAGTACGTACCAATCGTTTCAAATATGCAGCTGAATTGAACGATATGGCACTTATGACTGGAGAAGTACTCAGGGCTGGGAAGTAATCGTAGTTATCTGAGAAGGTGGCTGGAAATGTGTGCGCAAAATGGAAATGTTGGCGGAGGAAACGCCGAGCATAGAGCTGAGGGTTCAAGAAGAAGGTGAATCATAGTGCGCAATTCAAAGTGGAAAGGAGTCGCGAAATGGTCTGTAATGTTGGACGTCAGATGCAGTCGGTGGGGACTGAACCTGCGTGAGCGCCACGCGGACGAAGCTTTGAGATTGATTGTGGCGCGGGAATTTTTATGCTACCGGCACGACGCAACCTGGATCCCTATATAGGTTACCGTAGCCATCTTGGCTCGAGGTAAATATCAGGTCCGCTCCTCGCTAGGCTGCAGCCGAAGGTGAACGCCAGTGACGACCCTTTGCTCCGCACCTGCTTTGAATATTGTGGCGCGGGAATTTTTATGCTACCGGCACGACCACAACCTGGATCTATAGGTTACCGTAGCCATCTTGGCTCAAGGTAAATATCAGATCCGCTCGCTGAGCTGCAGCCGGAAGGTGAATGCCAGTGACGACCCTTTTATCCATGCTCACTCACCCGTCCCACTATACCCCGTTCCCCTGAACAAAGTTGAAGCTAGTGGAGGCATCAACCGACAGAAGTGGAGCACCCAACATTGTCCGTGGGGAAGTGGGGGACGGTCTGCAGAAGCAGCAGTATGGCAGACGTACGCGAGAAAAACTGCATCATCCGAGAATCGAACTCGGGTCACAACGATGGCAACGTTGTATTCTACCACTAGACCAATGATGCCGCCCTAATAGATGATCTCGCAACCACCTATTAAAGATGATCTCATCTTCAAACTTACCTCCCATAGCCTTGTACTATTCGAAGAGTGAGTCACCATTGAAGGCGTGCGCATCCTCTGCATCTACATATCGGATTCCGATGCGGGGACTCGAACCCAGTCGCGTGGGTGAAAGCCACGAATCCTAATAAGCTAAGCTACATCGGAGATGTGAGGACTGAGCCTGGTTTCCCGCTGATCACAGACTCGTGTAATCCTTTGATTTCACAGACTTTCACCGGCAAGGCAACTTCGCATTCCAACATCACAGACGTTCCATACGCGCAAAGTGCACGTGACACTCCGCAGCCACACGGTTTCACGCGACCGCAGCCGCATCGTGGTGTCTCCGCGCCGGTGTCGCTTACCACCACTGGAGATAACCTGCACATACATTTCGTCTTCATTTGCGACACAAAATTCGGATCATGAGCCAACGAAGATGAGAGTTATCTGCGCCTCATGTTCGTGTTTATCACTCCACAGCCTTTCGCGCAGTGCGGCCCTCTTTCGCGCTCATCATTCATTGTCTTACATAAATCCACAAGCTCCAGCAGAGCTTCGAGGCACATCTCACCAGTCAACAGAGGGGGTATCTCAGATCTGAGGCCTCGGAAGAAGTGGGTACGACATCAATCTATGCCTGTACCTACTCCTTCCGCGGATTGCACGAAGCACCTTCAAACCTTGTGGTGATTGGTGACACGAAATGCTAGATAGATATCTATATATCTCCCGCTGGCTGCAAATTCCTGCGTCACGTGCAGTCACCATAGTTCCGAGGGCTGTGGATCAAGAATTCCTGGCGTGATGGTGGATGGTGACTGTCATCGAGATGTGGATTTATGTGGTGACATCGGGCGCTGTTCATCATC